GGCCTTTGCTTATTTTTTATACACAGTGAAGATACTTCAGGGACTGCTTTGGTTTTATATACTAACATTCCAGTGATGAAAATGATACATTAAAAATCTTTTTAGTGAATGCTAACTGTTCCCACAGTTAAAGACATTTACCTACTATGTAACTAATTATATCTTCTTCCCGAGTAATTTGGCAAGCACCACTGAAGATTGGTTTACTCAGCTTCTAACTCAGTCCCTGGCTGGCCTTTTTTTTTTTTTTTTTTTTTTTTGAGGCAGGGCCTTGCCCTGTTGCCCAGGCACGATTGCCATGCACGGCAGCCTCAGCCTCCCGGGCTGACGCGATCCTCCTGCCTCTGCCCCTAAAGTGGCTGGGACTACAGGCCTTGACCACCGCACCCAGTTAGTTTTTTTGTTTTTTTTAAATTTTAGTAGAGATGATGTCTCACTATGTGGCCCAGGCTGGTCTCAAACTCTGGAACAAGGATCCTCCTGCCTCGGCCTCCAAAAGTGTTGGGATTACAGGCGTGAACCTCCGCACCTGGTCTGGCCTGCTTTCTTGCATTTGGAAGTTAAAAACTAAATTTCCCAGAGCTGTTTGCAGCTAGATCCACATAGGACTGGGTTTCCCAAGCCAAGTTTGCACCCCTGAAAACCTTTTTTTTTTTTTTTTTAAAGATGTGGTCCATGGCTGGGCACCATGGCTCACGCCTGAAATCCTAGCACTTTGGGAGGCCGAGGCGGGCAGATTGCCTGAGCTCAGGAGTTTGAGACCAGCCTAGGCCACATGGCAAGACCCTGTCTCTACTAAAATACAAAAAATTAGCCTGGCATGGTGACACACACCTGTAATCCCAGCTACTGTGGAGGCTGAGGCACAAGAATCACTTGAACGCGGAAGGTGGAGGTTGCAGTGAACTGAGATTGTGCCACTGCAGTCTAGCCTGGGGGACAAAGCGAGACCCTGTCAGAAAGAAAGAGAGAGAGAAAGAGAGAGAGAGGGAGAGAGAGAGAAGGAAGGAAGGAGGGAGGGAAGGAAGAAATATGGCCTAGCTCTGTGACTTTGCTCTGTCACCTAGCCTGGAGTGCAGCGGCACCATCATAGCCCGCTGCAGCCTAGAACTCCTGGGATGAAGTGATTTTCTCAGTCTCTGGAGTGGTCGATAGGGCAATGATTGTGCCTCCACACTTGGCTAGTTTTCTCTTTTTCTTTTTCTTTTTTTTTTTTTTTTTGGGACACAGTCTCCCCCTCACCCAGGCTGGAGTGCAGTGGTGTGATCTTGCCTCACTGCAGCTTCAGCGGCCCGGGTTCAAGTGATCCTCCTGACTCAGCCGCCCAAATTGCTAGGATTACAGGTGTGAGCCACCACGCCTGGCTGACAACTGGCTCATTTTTTTTACTTTTATTTATTTATTTTGTAGAGATGGGGGCCTTGCTGTGCTGCCCAGGCTGGTCTCAAACTCCTGGGCTCAAGCAGTCTTCCCAGTTCAGCTTTCCAAAGTGCTGGGATTACAGGTGCGAGTCACTGCACTCCACTCTGTGCAAAACTTAGAAAGTGAACGCGCCGGGTACGGTGGCTCACGCCTGTAATCCTAGCACTTTGGGAAGCCGAGGCAGGTGGAACACCTGAGGTCAGGAGTTCAAGACCAGCCTGACTGACATGGAGAAACCCCATCTCTACTAAAAACACAAAATTAGCCGGACGTGGTGGCGTACTGTAATCCCAGCTCTCGGGAGGCTGAAGCAGAAGAATCGATTGAACCTGGGAGGAGGAGGTTTTGGTGAGCCGAGATTGCACCACTGCACTCCAGCCTGGGCAACAAGAGCAAAACTCTGTCTTAAAAAAAGGGTGAAGGTGAGGAAGGGAGATGGGCCCTCTGGCTAGTTTGGTGATGGAGATACTTGTTTTTTTTCTAAACAGCCTAGGAAGCTGTGGCCAGGGAATGCTCTCTGCATCAACCCTCAGGCTTTGCAACAGGGAGACTTATTTCCTGGTCCTCTGAAAATCCTGTAAGCTATCAATGGCTCCTAGTAATCTCTGTCAACTAGCTGAGGAGGCTTCTGTTGCCAGCAACCGGGAACCCCAAGCCTGACGATGGGAGAAGTGGCGTGATACAGCAGCGGAACTGAAAACGGGTGCGGCTGGAGGAGCCAGAGGAGAGGCGGCTAAAAGACTCACCTGCTGCAGGGTGGAAAGCTGGCGACTCTCGGTACTCGGTAACAGTGTCTACCCATGCTCCACCTGCTGCTCCTGAGAAGGCAGATTGCGGGTGGCCGAGGCTGCAGCCTTAGAAAATTAATAAAGACATTTCAGATGACAAGTTCCTGCTTCTTCCACTTTTGGAGAAGTCCTAAGCAGAAAACGAGAGCCTGTGGACAGAGCAGAAGGGATTAATCCATCTTTCCTAAGGAGGGGATTTTTTTTTTTTTTTTTTGAGACAAGGTCTCTCTGACACCCAGGCTGGCTGGAGTGCAGGATCTCAGCTCACTGCAACCTCTGCCTCCTGGGTTCAAGCGATTCTCCTGCTTCAGCCTCTCGAGTAGCTGGGACTACAGGCGCACGCCACCATACCCGGCCGATTTTTGTGTTTTTAGTAGAGATGGGGTTTTGCCATGTTGGCCGGGATGATCTTGAACTTCTGACCTCAGGTGACCCACCCGTCTCACCTCCAAAACGCTGGCATTACAGGCATGATCCACCACGCCTGGCCACGTCCAGCTTTTTATTTCTTCTAGAGATGGGTTCTTGCTATGTTACCCAGGCCGGTCTTGAACTCCTGGTCTCAAATGATCCTCCTGCCTCAGCCTCTGATAGCCACCACTCCCCCTCTAGGGGCTTCTGTCTTGCCACAGACTATGAATCTTAATTGAATGAGGGTTCCATTACTTCCTTTTTTTTTTTTTTTTTTTTTTT